GGAGGGGCCACGTGCCATTGCACACGCAGTGTTGCCAGCCCACTGCTCCAACCCAGTTCTCAGCTGACGCCAGATCCCAGGGGTGGGCAAGTGAGCAAGGAGGCTGCCAAGGATTTCCAGCCCTCCCCCAAACTCAACATTGTGCCAGATTCCTGCAGCACTCACTACCTTTTGGGACCTACTCTGAGCAAATAGTCTCCTCTGTTCTCAGCGTGCACGTTTGTCTTCTGGCAAGTTCTCAGCTTTGCACGTTCATGATGAGGCCGGGAGATAGCAAAAGACCTGCACTCTCACCACCAGCAGGTGGAGAACAAATGAATGAAGTGGGGAGATAACCAGAGAGTTGGGGACAATGAACCAGGAGCCCTCTGCAGGTGTGGTTGGACTTCGGTTCCATTTTCTCAGGTTTGGGTGTAATTTTTCTAACATAACAAGGGGCACCCAACAGTAATCCAAACAATCAGTTTACAGGGAGCAGGCCCCTAAGGAAAGACGATGGATTTCTCAGAGGGACACTGGCCCGTGAAGGGAGGCATTGTGGAGAGTGACCTGAGAGAGAGCATTCCTCAGCCGGGACAGGCAGCCAGCAGAGAATGAGTGACGGGCACCATGGCCAAGGCCAGGGCACCAGAGGGAGGATCAACAAACAAAGGCCTCCTGGATCAGTGGGTTTTTCTTGACCAGCAATAAGATATTCACACCTCTCTAAAGAGTGCCTTTAGTCTGCTAATTTTAGAAAAGTTATGGTGCTTACAAAGGTATGGCTACTATATACCCTAAGTTCCTATAGGCCCACTTCTAAGTCAGTCTTCCCTGCCTGTAACCTCAAGGGTTGATCTCAACTCGGCTGAGTCCTAGTCCTTTTTTTGCATAAAAACCTCCAGGCAAAGATTCTCAGGCCGTTTTCCTTCCACTTTCCAGTAAATGCTGCAGTATGCTTTAGCTGTACAATACAGAGCTTCGCTCAGTCCTCTTTGGACTCTCTGCCTTGTAATTCTTTGTGGATTGAGAGAAGAATCCAGCAGCCAGATAGTGGCAATTGCAGAGCTGTTGGGCGCTGGCACCTGTTGGTAGCTGCCTCCCTGTTCCCAGGAACCAGCTGATGACTGTAGAAGGATTACCCAGCTATTCCAGTTACAAGAATCCATTCCTCTGCCGGTGCCTGCTGATGGCAGCCGGGCAGCAGTCAGGCAGAGGTGGCAAGGTGGGCATCGCCCTGTAGCCTGAGTCCTGTTCTTGCCACTCTGCCTACTGTGTCCCATTGCAGGTGAGTGGGAAGCACTGACCAGCACCCTGGGAGGATCACACTGGGCATCAGAGTGACACTCAGGGTATTAAAAAAAAAAAAAAAAAAAAGAGGCTCTTGAACAACTGCCACTATGTGGCAATCAGTATCACATTTCTCATGGTGAGATAACTGTAAATAAATACAATGACAAAATCATTAAGAAATAACCTTCTCTGCCTATTCCTAGGAACCAATTAATGACTGTAGGAGCTTTACCCAACTCTCCAATTTACAGGAATTTGTTCATCTGCCTGGGCCTGCTGAGGGCAGTCGGGCAGCAGTCAGGCAGAAGTGGCACGGTGGGTACTGCCCTGTCGCCTGAGTCCTGCTCTTGCCACTGTCCCTACTTTGCTATCTATATGGGTCCTACCTGCTTTCTCCTCCAAGTCAAGCTTCCTCCCTGCTTCCTGTACCTCCAAGTAAGTGTTCTCATGACGGTCAATTTCAGGTCCCTCCACTAGGAGGCAAGGACCCAGACCATGCCTTGTGCAAAAGCAAGATACTTGGTTGAGGTTCCTCAAACTCTGGGCGTCCTGCTTCAGCCCAGGAAGCTTGGCTATCCTTTGTTTTCCCTGTTCCTGACTCCAGTGTGAGAGCCCATGTGAGCCCTGGCTGAGGGAAGATGATGAGACTTCAGTGCAAGAGTTGCAAGAGGGCCTCTTTCAGGAAAACAGCGCTCACACAACAGGCAGACTCAGGGACTTCCAGCCCTGGGGAGGCTCAGGGAGGAAGACCCAGAGTTCAAGTCCAGCCCAGGCCATTTAGCACGTGGGCAAGACCCTGTTCCAAAATGAAAACCAAACTGGGCTGGGATGTGGATCAGTGCAAAGGTTTTCTTACTGTCAGAGGATGTTCTGTCCTGAGCATGGCCAAGTCCTCCCTCACAGTCCTGGGGATAGGGCAGGAGAGACTCCATTTTCTTTTTTAACTCCATTTTAGAAGTCACTCTTCTTTAGATGAACTCACTTATCCACTCCTTCCCTTCTGGCGAACAGAAGGAGAACAGAGCCATAAAAAAAATAGTTAAAAGAAATTGCAGGTAAACTAAAATTTAACCATACTAAAGAACCCCCAGGAAATGTAAACCTTCAGAGCATAATGTGGCATTTTTGTAAATTTCATCAGTGGGGTAATACGGTTGACATGGAAACTCAAAAAGATATTTAACCTGAAATCAAAGTCTGACCGGGACTGCCATCTTGGTTTCTGACTCTTGATCAAGGGGGTGTTGGTTGTGCACTTCAGTAAGCGTTGTTTGTTCCTTCATTTTTGGCATCTCATGAGTACCTATCTTATGGAATCTCACCTTCACACTGGAAGTGGTAAGACAGTCAGATGCTTCCAATGGAAAATAAAAACCGGTTTTTACTGTAAAGCGAAGCATATTACTACTTTCTGACAATGATAACAACCATGCATAGCAAAGGTGAACTGCCTCAGACATACCCAAGAGTGGAAACTGGAGAAAAATAAAAATATAAAAATGGCATTAGAAGCAGCTGTCTAAAATAGGACAACAAACCATCTCATAACTGTCATAACTGTCAAAGGAGTCAAGAGAGGACTACAAGTCAATTCACCAACCGGTGTAGAAGAAAGTCTAAATGCTGCATATAATAAACAGGAATTCAGGCCCTGCCTACAAAAATAGAAATGCCCCATCCAAGAAACCTAAATATGAAGACATCCTTGTCTTCTCTGCTCTCAACTTTTGGCAGGCTCAAGCAACCAACAAAAGGCAGAAACAGCTGGTAAAAAATGGATGCAATTTTTGATTACCTAAATGAATCACAATCCAGAACACAGTCAGAATACTTCAGGGTGTCATGAAACAAAACTGGACTGAAACAAAACAAAAGAAAACAAAACTCTTACGTCCTTCCAGTTTTCTTGTGGAGGCTTCCCAATGATATCAGGGAAAATATAACTCCCAACCTGCTTGATGTCAGATACACTGAGTTCACATCAAACCAAATGGAAGAATAACTTATAAGGAATAATAAAGATTAAGACTAGAGAAAACTTATATAGAGAAATAAACTCTAGAGACAGGAGAGATCTGAGAGTGGGTTGCCACCAAGGCCACTGCTCTAAGAATGTTTCACAGAGCAAAATCACAAGGGGGTACAAAGTCACAAAGTGAGCACTGTATGTGTCAAACTATGGTCAATCAATAAGATTACAAACATAGCCACTTAGCTAATAATGATCCAATAGGGAATCAGGCCTCCTAGCAAGGGTACCTGCAAAGAAGGAGGCATTTTCAGGAAGGGCTGGGTCTGTGTGCTCTGTCACCCACCAGGGTGACTGTGTAGAAGAACTTTTGTGTTGTAAATGTTTCAGACCTGAAGTATATTGATGGTCTGCCTTGCACTTCTGTAAATGAGCTTGCTAACCACAAGATGTCCTATACCCAGCATGTTTCTATTTCCAGTTTCTTCCTATATTTGTCAAGTTTCCCTGGCTGGGAAAAGACTGCTGCTGTACTTGATAAACAGCATAAAAGTAACTTCCAGTACTAGCTTGGGGATCAGACTTTGGAGTATGCAGCTCCTCTCAGCCTACTGGCACAATTAAGTTTGGTTCCCTCCTCTTGTCTACCTGCTGCTCGGTTTCTTCACTGCTGGTAACCCTAAACTTGCTGTAACAACTGTTGTCTATTTGCACTTTACTGGAAGAGGTGATTCCATTTATAGTATAGTACTGATGGAGACCATTACAAAGTAGATCTGAGCAGGACTTAGATTAATGAATTGGCTTTTCATGTTCCCCTGTGAATCTGTCCAAGGCCTAGGCTCCTTGTCTGAAAATGGATGGTGGGCTCATAGTAAGTCCTCAATCCCTCTGTGAGTCATTAATCCCTACTATAGCCTGTAATGGTGGATTAAACCAGAAGCCTCAGAAGATAAGATCACAGACAAAGACACCTGGATCCCATCTCAACTAGATAGAGACTATAGCCTCAGGCATCTCATTCCTGGGTTGATTAACTTGATCCTTATTAAGGATTAATTGAATACTTATTTGGAGAAGTCTTTGAGTGATTCTGCCCTTCTTGGGTAGTCCTCTCCCTTCTGATAATCAAGTAAGTATGGGCCACCCAGAGAAGGTCTGGGTCTTAGCCTGAGAGAATCTTGAATTCTGTGAGAGGGCTTTGTTCCTCCTGGAGCCTGGAAATCATTCTATTTGCCTCTTTTTATTTAGCCTCCACTGTATACTCTTTCAGGACTTTGGGGAACTGAGCAGCCTGCAGTAATTATGGGATATATATTAACCTGATAAAACAGCAAGTTACTGCTCATCCCTTAGTGCAGGCCTGTAAGCCTGGTTGTTGGATTTTTATCTCAAGACCTGGTCTGCTTCAGATACACCTCCAGCCACAATTCTGATGTTTTTATTTTTTCTGCTGATTTCCTTGACAGCCCAGGTCCTTTCTCACTGTATATTAATTTCCATCTAACTTAGCTGCCCATGATAATGTAATCTGGATCTTTATGAACTAAATGTTGGTCTCTGGGTGATACACTTAAGGAAAAAGTAAAGAGAGTCTTCAGGCTGGGACTGCCCACATCCCTCCCTACCTCCACATCCTATCCACAGCCATCTCCCCAGCACTTGTCTTTTTTGTCACACCCAGTTCCTTTTCTCTCAGCCTCTCCCCCTTGAATAGCTGCCAAATGCATTGCTTTATATGGCCTTGCAAAGTCCAGCTCTGAGCAGAGGCAGCTGAGCTGGTGTGAAAGGCCGTGGTGGAAACACACGTGCATGAAAGATGGATCCCCAGAAAAATTCACAGCAGGTGAGTTTGGAGCTGGCCAGGTGTGAGCTGGCTGCACATCCAGGGGAAGCAGCTGTGGGTCTCTGAGGAGAGGACTGGGTGGCAGGGGCTGGTGGTAGGAGAAGCCAAGAGACCCAGAGGAGGGTAGAAATGCCAGAGGAGCTCATCCTGATGCTCATCCTGCTCCATGGCTTCTCACCCACTCAGTCCTGTACTGGACTAGAGGTGCTCATCAATGCCATTCAGGTATCTGACACTGGCTTACTCACCTCCCACTGGGTGCCTGCGCTATTGTCTTAGTTACTTTTCTCCTTGCTGGGACAAAATATCTGACACCCACAAGTTGAGGGAGGGAAGGTTTATTTAACTCATAGTTTATAGAAGTTTCAGTCCATGATTGGCTGGTTCTAAGGCAGGGTGGCTTGGCAGAGGGGCATCACAGAGGGAAACAGTTCCTCATGCCCACAAGGTAGCAAAAGCAACAAAAGACATTCAGAGCCCCACTGTGAGAGTAGGGCTTGTGCCACTCCACTCCTGGGACCGGCTGTGGTTGTCCACACTCCACACTCTCCTGGGTATTTTGTCTGTACTTCCACCATCTGTTGTCCTGTGATCCCTCCCAGGCATGCAGAGCAGTGGACATGGCTGCTAACTGTTTCCCAATCAGGGAATACCAGCCCTCAGCTCCCTTTTTACAACTATGACCAAACCCCAACCAGGTGCTTCCACTGTCCCTGTTTTTGCTATATGCCCCAGTCAAATCCAAGGTCATCCACACTGACTGTTAGGATAAATGACAGGGTCAGGTCTCTGACTCATAGGGCTGGCACCTATGCAACTGCCCCCTTTGAGTCCTAAAAAGCAGCCTGTGCTGTCTGTCAGCCATATCATTCCCTTCCAGGTCATCTGTAATTGCATTGGGAATTATTTTTGTCTTATGAGAACAAATAACACCCAGAAAATTTGACAGACAAGCCAGTTCCCTCGACCCTGTCTTCGTTCACGGCCCACCCGAGGCCATCACAGCTTCCTTCAGACTGTGCATGGCAGCTTTCAAATCTGCAAGGCAATCAGAGGTTAATGTGATATCATCAAAGTACGAAACAAAGACATAGAGTGTGGCTTGGCCCGGGTGGCCAGGTTCTAGGCACCAGGCCATGACACACAGTAGAGCTATGTGAATAGCCTTGTGGCAACATCTGGAACATCCACCTCCTGCCTGCCTGGGTGAAGGCACATTGGTCCTGACTGCCAGCATCAGGGTGAGATTTTATAGTCATTCCTCAGGACCTGTCTGTCTTCTGTGTGGGCCACAGTGAAGGGCTGGTGCAAGGTGTAGGACCCATGCTTTTTCCAATTTCCAGTATGTAACCTTTCTTCACTACCTTCAGGCAGTCGATACTGGTGCATGGTGTGGACATCCTCAGACTGCAGCTTTTCCCATAAGAATTTGCAAGCAGAATTCACCCTGCATGGTGTTGAGCAGGGCACCAGTCAGTTTCTCCACCCCAGTATATATGCAGCAACAGGGGAATCATGCACATCAGAAGGGCACTGAGCCTTCGACAGCCTGGAGCTCCTGCTGCCTGAGCCCAGGGCCTGGCTCAGCTCTGGCAACACTGAGAGCAAAGTCAGCTGTCCCAGTTTTTCTGTCATCAGCAGATCCTGTGGCTTGTTAGGTGCCACCAGAGGCCCTCTCTGTTTTGTCACAGAGGTGGTCAGCGGGAATGTCAGTGTCTTCCGCCGGTCTGCATGCCTGGTGGTGCTCAGCTTGAGTGTCATTGTATTGTAGCTGCCTTGGGGCTGCAGCCGAAACCCAGGTTCGTGCAGGCTCCCTGCACCCACTGCCAGTGATTTGCACCCTGGATCCACACCATGAATGCCCGATTCACAGTGGGACTTTCCCTTTCTCTTTGCTAAGCCTGCAGCCAACATGTTTGTCCATATCTGGCACCGTCTGACCTTTCGTGGTCCCATAGTCTGTGTGTGGTGGTTTAGCTCCCACTAAGGCTTGGGCCACCCACCTTTTGTTTTGCATGCTTCACCAGTCCCTGTGACTCCTTGGCTGTATAGGAATGGGTAGAGGTGGGCAGTCCTTTTGCCCCACTGCCCCAGACTAAGGGCTCTTCTACCGCCACTTTCTGGCAAAGAGCAGTCATGCAGCAATACCAGGGGCCTCTCCCAGAAATGGGAATTTATGCTTAGGGAGGAGGCGGGATTTCCTGTGTTCCATAACGTGGCTCTGGCAGCCAGCGCTGTCTTAGGCTCTCCTGTGTCCATCGCACTGGGATGGGGGTTCCTGGTGTGACAAGCATGTTCTGTCACAGTTGCTGTCCTTGTCCTGCAGTTAGACCAACTGCAGTATCAGTTGTCAGGTCTTTGTGCCCTGGTAGGGGCACCCCGGTGCCTGTGGCTACTCTCGTCCCACCTGCCTGTATTTCTGTGCACCCCTGCCCACCTCAGCTGATTTCCTTGGGACTGTTTCCTATGTCATCTCCTGGGAGGGGCAGGGCTGTCACTGCCCAGTGTTGGGCTTGGGTCCTTGCTTTGAGTCAGTCCTGGCTGTGGAATTTTCTTGGGTCTCCACTTTTTCGGCTTTTTGGACTTTTCCCCAGGCTGTGCCCTCAAGCCCCACTCATCAAGGTTGGTCTTCCCAGTTGCACTGAAGCTGACTGCAGATAACCAGGGCAAGACTGGGGGAGACCTGTTGGCCCCTCCTCTCCAAAGCTCCCCTTCACCTTCAGGTGCGGGAGGGGACACTCACTTTCTCCTGTTGACCCTGTTTCCTGGCAACTGCACCAACTGTCAGGGTTCAAGGGGCTGAAGAAGGACATTCATGTGTGAGGTCCCCAGAGAAAGCACACAGAGGCAGACATCAGGAACACAGCATTAGAGGGCAACTGAGCAGAGCGAGAGCTGCCTGCGTCCTTATTGGTTCACTCTTACACAGGTGGTTATCACATACATCCATTCCTGTCTAGGGTCCCAGCCAGTGCACATGTGTTTACCTGTGCTGAGTCCGTAAGGGTACTGACCTCCCCAAGATGTGAGCACCTTGGAGCAGTACTCCACCTTGTGTGTGGCCAAAACACTCCCACATTGAATTTCCCTTACTCTTTTCTACCAGATCCTAGCCCAGAACTCAAAACCTATGTAAATAGCACCTGGGGAACAGCTGGAGATTGTGTTTCCTATGGCAGGGTCAGTAGTAGTGGCAGCTGGGGTGATCCTCTGACTTACAGAATTCAACAAGGTCCTTTGTAAATTTGACTGACATTTTATAGTATTGATGTATATAATAATTTTGTAAAAGGAATATTTAATGTTAAAATGGTCCCTTGAGTGTGAGCTAATTTTCTGGCCTACACTTGTCACCTCAGAATGCTTTAGTGTCCAGCCAAAGTTCCTTCCATGACAGTGAAGGGCCCCTGTTTTGGGAACACTAAGTTTGCCCTTAGTTTTTGAATAAATGAACCAAGTAAATATGTGCTGGCTTCACAGGAAAGACCAGGCCTACCCTTTGGCATGGTTTCTGGCTCTGCTGACTGTCCAAGTCCATGACAATTGGTACAGAATTCCCTGTTGCTGTGGTAGTTCTCTGCTGCCACTGGCTGACATGTGCCCATCCTCCCAACAGCTTTCATCACTGGCTATCAAGCCCCTTCCTTACCATGTCTCTATCCCAGGAGGGCTGCACCCAGACAAGGTCATCACTGTGTCAGGCATTGTCCCTCACAATGCTAAGAGGTAAGACAGGACCTCCAGGGATCTCAGGGAGGAGAGAGCCACCGCCTGGCTCCAGGGAGGTGGGGGATGAGTGGGACTGGTTGGACCAGAACTCAGGGGACAGAAGGTCCATGTGATGTGCCCACCCCAGGTTCAACATCAACCTGTGCACTGAGAGTGACATCGCCTTCCACCTGAACCCTCGTTTTGATGAAAACATTGTGGCCTGAAACACTCTGATCCAGGGCAGCTGGGGAACAGAGGAGCGAGATCTGCCCTTCAATATGCCCTTCAGACAAGGATACAGCTTCATGGTAAGATGCTGAGCCTGGAGCTTGGGTAGCTCACTGGGTGCAAGGATAGAAAGGGTGAGGAGGGCCAGGGTTCCTCGAATGGGGTGGGGGCCGATGGATGTGATAGAAGGGCTGGGCCCCAAGGGAGAGAGAATGTGCCAAAAACTATTAATATTTTATGATTACTATCTCCCATGTTGCAAATGTTAGCACCTGATTTTTACAGATTAGCAAACAAAGTCGCAGGATAAGTTACTTGCCAGGGATCACATGGTCCATTGCTGCCCATCACTCCCACGAATGAGGAGCCAGTCATTTATTTGCTTGTTCACCCAGCAGTCATGTATCAGCTCTTGGATTGGGCCTGTGTGGTGCAGGAAGTGCCCCATGCCCAGGGCTGCAGCCAGGAAGCAGAGAGCAGGTCCTACCCATGGGGCTGGATGTAGGTGCCGAGGAGCAAGGAGACCAAGGCATGAGCCGATCAGCACAGATAAAGACAAGGCTGAGCAGAAGGCACACAAGGCCTGGGGTGGAGGGTCCCTCACTTTGGCGCCATGATACCGTAGAGGGAGAGGCCTGTCCAGAGCTGCACTGCAAGGTGCAGAGTGAGGGGAGAAAGGTGGGGTGTGGCTGCAGCCCGATCACCATGAGCAGGCCTTCTCCACCCTGACTACACACTCGGATCCTCCGCAGGGCTTACAAATATTAAAGCCATGTGCAGAGGCGCATGCACCTGTAATAGCAGCACAGGGTACAGAAGGGTCCCAACAAGTCTGAGCCCAGCTCGGGCAATTTAGTGTCTTAAGCCCTGAGTCAAAGTAAAAAATAATAATAATAAAAAAGGGCAGCACAGTGTGAAGGCCCTGGGTTCATTCCCTGGTACTACAGAAAGAGAAAGAAAAGAGGAAGAAGGAAGGAGAAGGTAAGGAAAGGAAGAAAAAAGGGAAAGAGAAAGACAAAAAGGAAGGAAGGCAAGTGCATGATGCCTGTCCTCCACCCAGCCGTGGAGACTGTCAGCCTGGGCATCAGATTGGCAGAAATAATGTCCTGGATGACTGCACTCTGCAATCTGGGCTGGAAATGACTGGTGTAGAGCTGTGTGGGCTGGGAAGGGAGCTTGGACTTTACTGCAATGAGAAGCCACTGGGGAGCAACAGCAGGGAACACTACCTTTGATTCATAGGTGGCTGTGTGACCTTGGGGAAGGGCCCTTCAGCCAGGGTCAGTCACTGGGTCTTTGCAGCTCCGTTTCCTCCTCTGCAAATGGGGCTAAGAATCCTGGGATCTCAGAGAGCTGTGGGAATGGGCCACGGTAGTCTCTGTGCACGCTAGCACAGTGCCCTGCGTGCGAGTGTGATGGAAGAGTGAGCACTGCCCTTCGTACCCTGACGGCCTCCTGGAGAAGGTCCTCGGTGGGAAAGGAGGAGTCAGGAGGCTGCTGCTGCTGCTGTAGAGTCCAGACGTGGACATGGGGGACGCAGATGCCCTAGGCCAGCACTGCTATCCCAGTGGCCTGAGGAGGCAGTTGGTCCCTGGGAGGGTCCAGTTGGGCAGGGAAGGCTTGCCAGAGGGGCTGGGTCCTGAGGTGCCTGGCACTGACACAGGGCAGAGAAGCAGGCTGGGAGCAGCACTGCGGGCTGGGAACTGAGTGCGTACTGAGGTCCAGGGAAGAGAGCACGGGGTGTTCAAGGAAGAGCAGGTCCTTCAGTGCGGGCGGGTGCGGGGCTGGTCGGAGGAATGGAAGGAGCCAGGAAGGAGGGGCCTGAGCCTGCAGGAGGGCTGAGGACTTTCTGCATGGAGTGTGAATGGCAAGGCCTCCCTGCCCAGGCCCAGATCAAATGCGAAGAGGACTGCTACAAGGTGACCGTGGATGGCCAAGACCTGCTAGAATACCCCCACCGCCTGAAGGCCCTGCCAGCCATTAATCAGCTGGAGGTGGCTGGCGATCTCGAGCTTACTACAGTGAATGTCTAGGTGGGCTCCCTGGCCTGGTGCATCACAGTCTGTGTCTCTTCCCGCTCCTCTTCCATGCCCTACACCCACTTCCACGAAGCCCTGACCTCTGAGCAGAGATTGCGGCTCACTGTAACAGCAGGCAAACCTCCAGCTCCACTCCTCCTGACCCTGTGGGGGTCCTGAGCCTGCTGAGCCCCAGCAAAGTCCCACACTGCATGCGGCCCTCAATCGCTCTCCCATCCTCTGTGCATCCCCACTTGGGTCCCAAGACACAGCTGTGCACTGCAGTAAGGAGGAGACCTGCAGGGCCCTCCCGGTCCAGTGACCTTAACCTCTGTCCTTGGCTGTGCACCCTGCTGCCCCCAACCCCTCTGGGAAGGCTGCTCTGGTGACATCCCGCTGCCTTGCACCAGCTGACCAGACTTTCTCAGCGAGGGCTCCTCCCTTCCCTGGCATCCTTAAAATAAAGAAAACGCTGCACTGTTGGCACACGACTGACTGTTTCATTGGTGTGTCTGGAGACATTTTGAGTTTTCTGGAACTGGGGGTCCCTGCCCTGTGGAGTGGGAAAAGTAGCATTTGTTCTCTTTGGGCAGGGAGGTCCCTACATCCATGTCCACTCCCAGAGGGTCCCTTGTGAAGCCCGTGAGGGCGCTGAGGAAGACAGCTGGGACTAAGGCCAAGGCAAGAAGTGGCCGTGACATAGCAGCTTGATATCCCGGTGAACCCAGGAAATATTCCCATGTCACTGAGAGGGGAGAAGGCTGGGATAGAATCTGTGGGGCCATGGCAGAGCCAGGAAGCCAGATGACCTTGTGCCAAGTGTGAGGGGAGGCAGATGGGTACCTGGCATGAGGGATGGTGTGCAAGAGCTAAGTGCCTCAGAATCAGGGCCACCAGGTGGGTGCGTAAGTGAGCACAGCTGTGCACCCAGGTGATTCCATGAAGAACTTGCTCCCTCAGGCGTGGTGCTCAGGTGGCAGCGTCAGCAGGGAACTGGTTAGCAAGGCAGAATCTCAGGCCCTCTGCAGGCCTACTACATGGGGGCTCGCATTTTAACTACATCTTACGGGTCTCCTGTGTTTCTGGGAGCAATACTCGGCCCTGGTCTATGTGGCTGGATTCTTGGCCACAGTGTTCAGACTCTGAGCTTCTGGTCACTGTACTGACTCTTTCTAGGTGACCAGAGTTTGGTAAGCCCCTCTTCTGATCTAAAATCTATGTCACTGCTGCCAGACAAGAAAGCAGAGGCAGCAGGAAGAAGCAGGGGGGAGCCCAGGAGACTTGGCCAGCAGGGCCCTGGGTCCCAACTGAGTTCCTTCCTTGGTTCTGAGCAGGAGACGGGGCTCTGTCTCCTCCCTACCCTACTGGGTGGCTGTACCCCTAGCAGGGCCCTGGTCTCTCAGGCAGGCAGGAACGCAGTGCCCTCCACTCCCCATCCTCTTACAGAAGGCCACACCTGGTTTTCCCAGGTGTCAAATCAGCAGTGGCCAAATTTAACGAAACAGGTGACAGCAAGGCAAAACCTTGCATGATAGGGCCTGGAGGACAAGGCCTTGACTAAGGAGCTGGCGCTGGGGGCGGGGCCCCCTCCCCTCACTCAGTGTAAGTTGCTTCCTTTGGAGGCTCAGCTTCTGCTCTCAACTGACCCCCTTCCCCACCACCTTCTTTGGGTGAGCACATAACTGCATCCACTACCATTTCAAAGAGGAATCCATGGTCTCCCTAGTCAGGTCCTTTGTGAGGTTCTTTGTCCAGGTGGTGGCACAACCCTGACTACTCCATGTCTTGTGGCTGCTAAACCTGCAACACAGCCACACTGAACACACACACACACACAATATAGTTAAAATGAAATGCATTTTATATAAGCTTTTTCCTCAAGGAAACATACAGGGAAGTCTCAAGTGGCCTTGGGAGCACACAGGGGTGTTTTAATACAAAAGCATAAATATTGTACACAGGGCACAGAAATAGGCAGTGTCACAATGTCGCCGCCTGGTGGCCACTCAAACTGCTACAAGCAGACAAAGTTTGAGTTCCTTTCAGACTAGCATTGCAGATTCATTGCCAAGGAGCCTGGGGTGGGTGTGGGGGCTTCAGGGACAGAGGAGGTTCTGACCAGTCTAGGATACTACTTGATGTCAGCTCACGTAAAATATACATTATGATTTTTCATTCCCGGTAAGAGTGACTCTGCAAGTTGCAGGTAGATCTAATCCTAGAGTTTGTAATTCAACAGGCATATGAACAAAAAAACTCATTATTAGCATTTTGCAGAGTTTTAACTGGGAAGCAAGAAAGGGTGTTAGTTATTTCCCCTTTAGCAGCTGCTCTTCCCTTTAAAACCTGTAAGTTTCTGGATAGAACCACATAGGATGTTCTTTTGAAAGGTTTCTGCTCCTGCTGAGGCAGTCCCTTTAAAACATGCTTTGGCTGCAGATGCCTCTGCTGGGAGCTTGTTTGTTTCCTTGGCATTGTCCGAATCACAGACTATTGACTGTGAGCTCTGCAACGGACTTAAAACTGAAGGAGCTGGTTCTCAAGTTGAGAACATCTCGGGGGAACTGACTATTCTTCTGCTGTGTGTCTTTGCCAGATTCTTTCCAACTCTTAATATTTTTGTTAGGTGTTTTGTTGGCACACAAGCCCCTGAGCACTTAAACAAACCTTGGAGCAACTGTGTATTTCATTGCACTTTGGTTGAAAATTTGGGGCTCATTTTACTCCTGGATAAAAACGGCTTTCCCCAGCAAGAAGACTCACTCCTGTCCCTTGTGGAATGCTTCTCTTGCCTCTCTTCTCCGGGCATCTCGGCTGAAGTATTCATCCTGTGAAGTCCTTTTCCATCTCCCACACTTTCCACTCTAGGTAGACTTACTTATTTGGAACAAGATGTTTCAGTCCAAGGATTATAAGTCCCTGTTCGGGCGCCAAATATTACATTAATAACCTTTAGTTATTGCGGGCTGATGAGGCCTGCAATCTCCCAAGTGAGTGGATGGTGAAGGCTAAAATAAATGAGACAATTGAAATGATTTTAGGGCTCCAGGGGGATTTAACCCTATTACAGTCTTCAAGGTTCTCTGCGCTGACATTCAGACTTCCCTGAGCAGTGCATATTTATTAGGTTTTCAAATAAAGGAGGGACATACTGAAGAAAATGCAGGAATCTGGGCAGGACTTGGGAAACCCAGTACGGAATTCTCCATGTACTACTTACGTTAATTTAGGAGAACTATGTTATCTCCAGGAAGGCCTTCACTGCAGGAGTGAGATGCCTGCAGCTACCCTCTCCTCTTAGCTAATGGGGATTGGAGCCAAGCGTCCTCAGCTGTGGCCTTATCTTGTCCTTTGAGACATTCCAACTTCAAAGGCCAATACAGGCCTCATTGGGGGCCAGTGACTCATAGGGGTTCACGTACTGTGAGTCTGCCACCTATCAAAGGACAAAGGCTCAAACCTCAGGGCCAGGGATATAGCTCAGTGGCACAGGTGCCTGCCTGGCAAGTATAAGGTCCTGAGTTCGATTTCTGGCACCAAAAGAAAAAAAGAAAAGAAAAAGAAAAAGGCTCAAGCCTCAGACAACTCCCAAGTAAACAAGGAAAGCCAACTGGTTAATATTAAATCCTGCTCCGACCTGCTTCATAGTGGTCTCCATCAACAAATTTTATCATTTTGACAATTTTCAGGGTACAATTCAGGTGGCTTTCAGTATATTTATACTGTTGTCCAAATATCACTACATCCAGTTCCAGATGTTTTTCATCTTCCCCAAATGAGTTTCTGCATTCATCAAACATATCCTCCTTTCTCTGCCCTGGCAACTACCAATCTTACCTTTAGGAATTAATAGCATTTTCAGGGTTATTTTTTATGACATCAACATTCTATTTATCTTCGCATTTTTCTAACTAAAAGAAATGACATTGATTTTCACCTAATGTTAGGAAATTAAAATGTCACTTTATTTTTACACCCAGGATCTCACTCTGACACCTAGTGTGATCCTCCTCTGGTGCTGGTCAGTGCGGGCAGCCACAGCTTCTAGCCCACCTGCAATCACGAGAAACCACAGAGCCTTGTGTGTGCTGCATTGCTGAGATTCATGTTGGGCAGGCCAGGCGTATACATCGCATTTGTATTTTCAGTGTTATCGTATTTGCAGCTTATGATTGGTTTCTCTGGGAGTAACTCACAGGGTGCAAGGTCTCCCACTGTAGTGGATTCTGACAAGGGAAAGGTGGGCCTCATCTGCTGCTCCCTGAGGCTGCCTACAATAGGAGTGGGTTGGTGAGAACATCTCAGCGACAAGGCAATGTCTGACATTTCTTTGCTCCTCTGCACAGAATGTGTGCCGTACCAATGAGCAGCTGCCACTATTTTCTCTGCAGACCAATAGTAACTCAAAGTGAGTATCACTGATCGCATGTACCAGGCCCTATTCCAAGTGCTGTTAATCCTCTTACCACTCTGACAGGGTGTTATTGCTACCACAGTTTTATACATGAGCAGAGAAACTGAGGCACTAAAAATGATGTCCTTTGCTCAGGACCCCACATTTAACAGTGCTGTCTTTACTGTGGGCAGCCACGTGCCTGGTTAACACTCAGGACCTCAGGCTGGGTTGTGGCTCAGTGGCACAGCGCTTGTCTAGCACGCACAAGGCCCTAGGCTCAACGCCAGCAATGCATATGAAACACAACTGAAGTAGGGGCTTTCCATAGGTTCTCTTATCCGAGTATTTTGCAGTATAAAGATACAGAATTATTTTGCGAGTCCACAAATGTTTGCATAACCTTTAATATCAGAGAAGTTGGGGCAGCAGAGAGTGCCATAGACAATGCTTTAATTCACATGTCTATACCAGATACATATCTTTGCAATCCTGTAGTAGTCTATCTTTGAAAAACATTTCTGAAGTTGGTATTTCTGTTGAAATTTCTGTAACACACGTAGGCTTATTTTTAACTTTGTTAAAAATGATTCAATTGTTCTCTGAAGTTGTTTGACTCTAAGTAATGTACCTAACAGAAATATATCTGCTCAGTCAGGAGCAATAATTGAACTTTGAGATATAATAGATTACAATGTAATTTTATGGTTTCTTAAATCTGCATTACTTTGATTTTTTTGCCAGCATCAGACTCATTTATTCATTTTATAAGAGCTTATCAAGTTAATTATCATAAATACAGATTAACAGCCAGACTACCAGGCAAGAATTCCCATAAAAATCCCATAAGACAATTATACTAAATCAAGATACACTTTGAGATACATTGTCAATGCTGGGTTACAATAATATCTTATTGCCAAATGTGGTGGCCTCGCCTGTACTCCCAGCACTTCAGAGGCTGAGGCAGGAGGATTGAAGTGAGTTTGAGGCCAGCCTAGGCTACATAGTGAGTTCAAGGCCAGCTTGAACTACATAGCAAGACCCTGTCTCAAAAAATTTTTTGTCTTTATTTTCCCTATTGTCTGTCTTTTATTCTGCACTTTATTTATATATTGAGTATCTTCTGTAAGAGAAACCATGGGATATTTGGGCTTGTGTATCTAATTTACTTGACTTAATATTGTGGTTTCAATTTCATTGCTTTCATTTTCCTACAATGACTCAAGTTTGTCCTTCTTCCTGGCAGAGTAGAATTTCTTTGCATATAAATGCCATGTTTGCTTTATTCATTCACCTGTTGATAGACATAGAGTCTTCTTTCAAGATTTAGCTGTTACTAATTGTGCTGCTATAAAAAGGGGTATGCTTATATCACCGTGATACACTGTCTTTAATTCTTTTGCGAAGATGTTTTGAGTATTTTGAGGAATCTCCATATTGATTTCCACAGTGCTGATACCAGTGTCACTCCCACCCACAGTGAGGAAGGGTTCACTTTCCTCCACAGCCTGTCCAGAGTTTGTTGTTGCTTGATTTTGCGATGGTAGCCATTCTTTCTGGAGTGAGATGGAATCTCAGTGTTAGTTTGATTTTCATTTCTTGCATGGCCAGTGATGTTGAAGGTTTTTATGTATTTATTGGCCTTTGCACTGCTTCCTCTGAGAAGAGTCCATTTATTTCAGATGCCCATTTCTTATTGGGTCTTAAAGTTTGGGAGGGTTAAGTTTTTTTAGTTCTTTACTTATTTTAGATATTTGTCCTTCATCTGAGGTGTAGATTGCAAAATTTTTTTTTCCTACTCTGTAAGTTGTCTCTTCACTCTGTTCGTGGTTTCCTTTGTTGTGCAAAAGCTTTTTAACTTGATTTGATCCCACTTATTGATTTTTGGTATTATTTCTTGTGCAACCTAGATTCTCTTCAGAAAGTCAAGCTACGCCTAGTCTTTAAAAGTTTTACTTATTTTATCTTCCATCAGGTTGTATTTCTGATTGAACATTAATGTCTTTGATACATTTTGATTATAGTTTAGTGCATGGTGAGAAATATAGTTCTAGGTTCAATCTTCAAAATGCAGATTGCCAGATTTCCCAGCACCGTTTCTAAAAGAGGCTATCTTTCTTCTGGTGAAAGTATTTGGCTCCTTTGTTAAAGACCAGGTAGCTGAATGCTTAGATTTGTTCCTGCAGTCTGCATTGTGTTCTATTGAACCACAAGTGATTTTTTGTTTGGTTTTGCCCATACTATGATGTTTTTATTACAGCAGCTTTGTAATATCACTTGAAGTGTGGAATTGTGATGCCCCCTGTCTTGCCCTTGTTCCCCAGCATTGCTTTGCTCTTGTAGGCATCTCCTGGCTCCATAGGAATTTTAGGATTGCTTTCTGTAGTTCTGTGAGGATCACTATTGGTATTTTGATTGGGATTGTATTAAATCTGTATAACTGTTTCAGAAGTATGGTCATATTGACTATATTGGTTGTGTCCATCTAGAAACAGGAGATGTTTTCTGATATCATCTCGGATCTCCTTCTTTAGAGTGCTGCAGCTTTTAGAGTAGAAGTCTTCCACTTCCTTGGTTGTGTTAATGCCTAAGTACTTCATTTTTCTTGATGTTATTATGAAAAGCATTATTTCCTTAATCGTCAGTGAGTTTATCATGGGAGTATAGGAACACTACCGAGTTTTGAGTATTGATTTGTGTCTTGCTATGCTACTAAATTTGGTGTTTAATTCTAGCAGTCTTCTGGTGGAGTTTTGGGGACTTATATGTAGAGGGTCACATCATCTGCAAATAATGGTAATTTATCTGCTTCCTTTCCTATCCATATCCCTTTTATTTCTTCTCTTGTCCAGTTGCTCTGCTAACGTTTAGAGAACTATCCTGAACAGGGATGGTTATAGTGGGCATCCTTGTCTTTTTCCTGATAATACAGGGAAAGCTTTCAGCTTCTCTCCATTTAGTATTATGTTGGCCATTGGTTTTTCCTAGGTGGCTTTTCAATCTGCATTACTGTGATCTCAAGGGAGTCTGATTACATTTTTTTGCTGTTTGTTAATTTTTGTATTGACTTTGCTAGAAACTGCTTTTATTAGTATTTGCATCATCTTTGATGGCTGATTTCTGTTCATTTGTGAGAACTCTTTGTATTAATTGTCTTCAACAGTACACATTCTGATTTTCACACTTTTAGCTATGTATGTGCATACATATACATACACATACTACATATGTATTTGCATATAGTGTTTTTCACTATAAAGAATGCATCTTTTTTACATTATAAAATTTGGTAGCCTCTCCTATGTTTTGTATTATATGCTCTGCCTAGAAAGGCCTTCCATCCTCTAAATTCACATTTTTAGAAATAACATATTTTCTTCTAGTTATTTTATGTTTTACTTTTTAAAATGTCAACATGGAAACCTCTGCTCTATTTGAGCTGTGGAGAAATCCTGTCACCAGCTAGCATGCTTTTGTATGTTTAGGAGGGCATATTGGGGATCTGAATGAGGGGCCCTCTACCAGTGAGCTACGCTTCAGCTTTTTTAATTTTATTGGTTTTATAACGGGGTCACTAAGTTGCCCAGACCGGCCTTCAATTTGGGGCCCTCCTGCCTCAGCCTCTTGGTTAGCTTTGATCAATCTTGTGAAACAGCACCAGGCTGTTTGTTTTTTACAGTAGTGTTTCTCCTAGAGGTGAGGTGACTGATCACATTTTGAAAAGTCCCTCAGTGTGGACTGTGGGGAATAGATAGCAGCAAGCAAGAGTCTGGGACTTTGATAACAGCTCTGAGGGGGAGCGTTCCTCGGTTCCATTTTGAGGATAGAGTTGTCCCCGGGAGTAGACTGTGACTCTGTGTGACTCAGTGGTCATCACCATACTGCCCAGATCAGAATTCTCTGCACCCCGACTATGTACCTCCAAGACACTACCCACTGCCTTGCTGAGTCTAAGCACAGTGGCCTCCTGTTTTGCCTGTGGACCCCACCGTGGGATGTGGAGCGGAAGCCCTGGATCATCTGCTGGGGCAGCAATCACCAGGGAGGTAGTTCACCATAACTCCTGGCTATGGTACAGGGCCTCGCTGAGCCACTGGTTATCTGGAACTCAGATGGGCTTGGGAATTTGTTTCTGCTTTGGGGTTGTGATGCTAAAGCTGTTCTGAACAGCTGTGTGTGTTTTCCTCTCTGGGGTTCGCAGTAAGGAACCTAGCAGAGCTAGGACAGAGGAGAAGATATTGCACTGTACAATCCGAGCAGCGCTAAGCTATATCTTCTTTTCCATTTCCTGTCTGATTTTTGTTTTCAAGAGCCAGAGTCTCTCCATGTTGCTCAGGTTGGTCTGAAATGGGTGCATTTATGCAATTCTGCCTCAGCCTCGGGAGATACAGGACTGCACCACCAACCCAGGTTCAGAGATGTGTTATTGTCCATTATGCCTTCAATCCATGCAGGAACCCTTTGTTTTAAATTCCAACCAGTGGCAATTGCCTTGGTAGCCTTTCCTTTCTATGATTTCTGTCGCGTGCTCTGCTTAGCCCTCTCTGGGGCCTGCACTGTTACAGAGTACTATAAAGTATTCCCTTCCAGTCTTGCTTATCTATTCCAGCTGAGTTCCCTGTACTTCAAATCAGCCAAATTCTGGTTGAACCAGGAACATAACAGGGATGGAGGGTGCAGAGGGGTCACATGGCCTCCAGCTTGGGAGAATGTGTAAGAAGCTGGTCTTTGCAAATTCTAGTGTGGCTATGCAGAGCACAGGAGGAAAGTGAGGTGAAGACATATGTATGGCCTGGGACACCTTGTTCCCTGCTCGCCTGGAAGACACTTGCTTTAGTCCATTTTGTAGTAGTATCCCAGAATGCCCCAGAGCAGATCACTCACAAACAACGGAAGTTGGTTTCTCACTGTTCTGGAGGCTGAGAATTCCAATACCGAGGCCAGGGCCTTCTGGGCCGTGCCATCTACAAATTTGTTGCCGGCTCACTTTGCATCTTCATCCACCAAATGGGATTCAGTCTCTGAGTGGAGTGCTGGGGGCGAAAACAGACAAAGGTCACAGAACTGGGGATGCCCATTTCCCTCCCCCTGAGTCCCACCCACAGCCCTCTCCTCAGCACCTCGCTTTCTCTCTCTCCAGATCTACTTCCTTTGCTGCTGGCTCCGCCCTGTTGGGCAGCTGCCAAATTGCGTTGCTATCTGTTTCGTTGAAATGTCCAGCTCTGTGCGCTGACAGCTCAGCTGTTGTGAAAATCAGCAGGGGACACCGAGGCTGTGAAAACATGGGTTCTTCTGGAAGCCAACCTGTCCGGGTGAGTTGTGGGCTGGCCCAATCTGAGCTGGCTGCACAGCCAGGGAGGAGTAGCTCTGGTCACTGAGGAAATTACTTGGTGGTAGGGAGAGCTGAGGGGGGAATCCCAGAGAGCCCAAGGAGGGTGAAAATGCCAGAGGCCATCTGGATGTAGCTTCTTTTCCATGGCAGCCTCTTCCAAGGCAGCCTCTTGGGACCTAGGAACGTTAACCCAACTCAGGCATTTGACCCTCAGTTAGTGACCTCACTCTGGGTGCCTGCTCCATCCTAGGAGTAAAAGGAAGACAGACCTAGTAGCATCTTCAAAGGTGACAGTTTGTATAAAGAAGTTGTGAACAGGCTTCTGGGAGATTGAGAAATCACATGCATGGCACTAAATCCACCTTCCCTGGAGATGACATCTGGGGCTCCAGTAGGGGTACATTCACCTTTGTGGGCCTCAGTTTCCATGTCTGTCTAATGGGCATAATACTCAAGCCCACCTCCCAGGGTAGGGGAGAGATTGGGCTATGTAGCATATCTAGTGTGTTTGAATGTAGGTGCTGTGGGAGTGTTGGGAACTATCAGAAGTCCTGGGTCAGTGGGGGAAATCTCTGAAGAGGCGTCTGTGTCCTGATGGGTGAGTTGGAGCTCTGCAGGCAAGGAAGCACCTGTACATCAGCAAAGGGGCTGGCTGAGAAGTCAGGAAATATTAGGACTGTGTCTGCAGTGTGCAGTGCAAAGAGAAGACTTTCCTGCATTTTTACCTGTCTGCCATATGCAATGATCACACACTGTAGGACATTCGGTCCTCTCTTCATACATGGAGAAACTCACGCCCTGAGGTGGAGGCACTTGCCAAATGCTCCCAGATGGAAAGCTAAAGGAAAGTGCCTATATTTACCTCCAGCAGAGCGGGGAGAACAGCACAGAGAGAGCCCACAGAGAGAGCAGCATTGTGGGAAAGCAGGAACATGGTAGCTGGGCTCAGGCCTTCCCTGAGTCATTGCCAACCAGGTCCCTGGCACAGGTAGGGGATCAGCAGAGGCCCCACAGGGCCTGAGAGTGGGTGGGCAGCAGGACCCCAGAGGAACTCACTCAAGTAGGGGACACTCTTGCCCTGACCCTCCTGACACCTGCCCCAGCGGTCCACGCCCCTCAGCACTGCCATTGCTCCCATGTGGGACCTGCATGGAGGAGGTGGGAGAGACTGGGCAGAGCTGGATGGGACTTCTGGGGGACAGTGGATCATTCTGTGTCTCTGTGAGCAGATTACGCCTCCTCTGGTTCCTCAGCAGATGGGAAAGTACACAAACTGAGAGCGTTAAATAGGCCCTGTGGTACTGAAAGGAAGCGGAATGTACTGCCCCATGGTATGGGCAGCCCCCATCCACCCGGCTGGCTTCCTTCAGTGACAAGTTGACCTCTCACAACTGCAGGCACACACTCTCCACATGCCAGTATGTGGGAAGCCACGCAACCACAGCACAGCTGAGCTACTGCACCCACTGCCTGGCTTGGGCACCGGGCTCCCTGTCCTAGCCGGCCTCCTCCACAGGCCAAGAAGGAAGCTGGACCCACAGTGAGGACGGCCCGAGGAGACCCATGGGGGGCCAGGGATAAGGACTTTCTGTGCTATATCGTGAGGCAGCCCGGGTGGGGCTAAAAGCATGGGTTCCGGGGTGCACATCCCAGCTCTCACTGAGCAGTTGTGCGGCTGCGTGCCCCTCAGAACCTTTCTGTGCTGCAGGGGCCTCGTGTGTAAAGTGCCAGTGACAAAGGCAAAGGTTGTTCTCAGAAAGAAGAAGGTAACACAGGCGCGAAAGGCGGCCACCGGCAGGGCCTTTTACCTCACAGCCGCGCCCTGTGCACAGCCTTGCTCTGCCAGGCTGCGGTCCCACTCCAGTGCGGCCTAGGTGCCCTCCAGCGCCCGTGGGCCACCAGAAAGAGGATGCTGCACATTGGCTGTGAGGGTCAGCTCTGCTTTCTGGACCTCCAGGTCAGAAGAGGAGAAAAAGTGCCTTCAGGCAGGGCCAGGAGCAGGGAACAAGTTTGGAGCCCTCTTAGGTACTGATTTGAGTCAATGCAAACAGCTGCATGATTGAGTCACACCAAGCCAGAGGCTTTTCATAAGCAAGAGAAGTGGCATTCATGTCCCACTAAGAGTAAGGTGGCCCAGAATCCAGGTAGGTGAGGTGACTTGTCCAACATCACAACGGCTGGCACAGGGGCTGGCCTGGGAGTCAACCCTGTGGGTCCAGGGATAATTCCATCTCTTTCCATGAAGGGAGCCAAACTGGTCCCATTGTTTTGGGCTAAGCGCCCTCACTGGACTTCACAACTCCAAACTGCATGGCAGTCTTAGTCGTCTGGGCTAAAAACAATATAAACTGCAGTATGTTGTCTTATAGCTCTGTCCCTCAGAGGCCTAAAGTTTGGTTCATTTCCATCCCGAGGCTTCAGGGAGAGTCCTCTCTGTTTTCTCTGCAGCTTCTTGAGTGGCCTTTGTGCAATGGATCAGGCTCCACCCTCTGTCTCTAAAGCCAGCAGCTTCTTGGGGCTGGGGCTGTAGCTCAGAGTAAAACACCTGCTGGGTGTTCTATCTCAAACACCACACATAGAACAAATAAAAGATAGAAAGTCAGCATCTTCCTGCTTCTGTTGTCACATCTCTCCTTTGAGGTTGACAATCCCACCTCTCTCTTACAAGGGCCTAGCTGATTATATGGGACCCACCTGGGCCTCAGTGTGGTGACCTGGGGTCCATCTCGCCAGCCTCAGATCCTTCACTGAACGACATCTGCAGAACCTTTTCTGGTTAAGGTCACACTCATAGGTTCCAGGGATCAGATCAGAGTGTGGATGTTTCCGACCTTGGGGCCAGGGGACAAGGCTGGCATTCTGGCTTCAGTGCCTTCCTTGCATCACAGAGTTGCTGAAAGGCAGGCGATGGGATCCAGGGCCAGAGCAGAAAGATCCGGAAAGATTGCGATGACAACCAAGGTTACCAGGAGACACCCAGGGCTGAACCCTCTCAACCTCATTCATATTGGAGCGCCCCCTCCAGAATGAGTGTGTGTGTGTGTGTGTGTGTGTGTGTGTGTGTATGTGTGTGTGTGTGTGTGTGTGTGTGCATGCATGTGCCCTCATGACACTCCCACATTAAATTTCCTGGTCTCTTTTCCACAGGATCCTGAGCAAAAACCCAGAACTGAGGTAAGTGATGTGTGTGGCAACTGGAGATTTCATTTGAAATGGCAGGCTGGGTGGTAAGGGGCAGCCCGTAGTGATCCCCTGAGTTACATAACGTGTTGAAAGGCTGGGGCTGACCTCAGTCATAGAACAAGTGCTGAGAAGACTCTGGATTTGACACCCTGCACCACAAAGAAAAGAAGTAAAAGGCACCATAGGTTCATTTCCATCCTGAAGTTTCAGGGAGAATCTGTTTCCTTTGCAGCTTCTTGAGGGACCAGCATGCATGGGCTCAGGCTCCACCCTCTGTCTCTATAGCCAGCAGCTTCTTGGGGCTGGGGCTGTAGCTCAGAGTAAAACACCTCCTGGGTGTTCTATCTCGAACACCACACAAGTACAAACAAAAGACAGAAAGTCAGCATCTTCTTGCTTCTGTGGTCACATCCTCTCCTTTGACCCTGCTGTTCCACCTCTGTCTTACAAGGGTCAGTGTGATTATACCCAGGGCCAAACCCTCTCACCCTCATGTGTGTGTGTTCATAACGCTCCCACATTAAATGTCTTGGTTTCTTTTCCACAGAAACGTGAAGCAATACCCCTCCCTTATGTAAGTTGTGCCTGGAGATGTCATTTGGAATGGCAGGGTGGGTGGTAAGTGGCAGCTGGTGGTGATCCTTTGACTTGCATAATTAAAAATGGTCTTTGATCAAGCTGAAATTTTAAAAATGCTCGTGAAAATTAAAATAATTTTGAAAGGAACTTTCAACTTGAAGATGGCCCCTTGACTGTGAGCTAATTATATGGCATTCCTTTGTCACCCCAGCATGCTTTAATATCTAGCCAAAGTTCCTGCCATGGCAGAGAAGGCCCCCTGCTTTGGGAACACTGGGAAGTTTCCCCTTGGCTTTTAATGTACTATGTAAAGATATCCTGGCTTCCTCTGGAATCCATAATATTGTCAGGCATGGCTTAGACTCTGCTGATGTCCAAGTCCATGACAACTGGTACAGGATTTGCCACTGGTATGGTGCCTCTGCTGTCAGTGACTGACCTGTCCCCATCCTCCCAACAGCCAATTCCTTATGTTGCCTCTATCCCAGGGGGTCTGCAGCCATCCAGGGTCATCACTGTGTCAGGCACTGTGCTCCCCAATGCTAAGAGGTAAGACAGGGCCTCCAGGGCTCTCTGGCTGCTGAATATAATGGGGAGGTGATGGGTCCCACCACAGTGGGGGACAAAGAGAGTCCATGTGATCTGCCCACCCAGGTTCCATATCAGCCTGCATGCTGGGACTGACATCGCCTTCCACTTGAATCCTCGATTCAGTGAAAACACTGTGATCCGAAACTCTCGGATCAATGGCTCCTGGGGGCCAGAGGAGAAAAGCTGGCCTGTAAACATGCCCTTCATCCCAGAACACAGCTTCAAGGTAAGATGCTGCAGCCTGGAGCTTGGGGGGTCTCACTGGGTGCAAGTGCAGAAGGTTTGGGGTGAGTGAGGAGGTCTTGGGGCACCCGGAATGGTTGGGGGTTGATGCTTGTGATAGGAGGATGGTGTCCCAAGGAAGAGAGATTGTAGCAAGTTATTATGTTATGATCGTTGTCCCCCAAGGAAAGTATTAGTATCTGCTCTTAATAGATAAGCAAACAAAATTATAGGACAAGTTACTTGCCACAGGTCACACGCCCATTGGTGCCAAATTGAACTCAAGAATGAGGTGCCAGTCATTGACTTGCATATCCACTCAGCAATCATTTGTCAGCTCTCTGATTGGGCTCCCTTTGTGCAGGAAATACCCATGTTCACAACTGTGGCCAGGAAGCAGAAAGAGCAGGTCCTACCTCGTGGGGATACAGTCTAGGTGTGGAGGAGCCAGGAGTCCAAGGCATGAGCCAATCAGCACAGATAAGGACAGGTTTTCTGGGTGGGAGGAACCCCACCTTTCGGGGGGCCAATGTGCAGAGGACTGAGGGGCCTGTGCAGAGCTGAGAGTGAGGGTGAGAGAGGTGTGGGGCATGGCCTCAGGCCTGATCACCAGGATTACACATACACGTCATGCATACAGCTTACAAAAACAAAAACAGCCAGGAGCCGTGGCACATGCACCTGAAACAGCAGCTCTCTAGCAGGTCAAATGAAAAGGATCCTGAATTTGAGCTCAGCCTGGGCAAAAACAATTTAGTGACTTAAGGAGATTTTGTCTAAAGGAGAAAAATTTAAAATTAGGGAAAGGGATTAGCTCACTGTGAAGGCCCTGGGTTCATTGCATAGTACCACAAAGAAGGAAGAAGGAAAGAGAAAGATAACAAAACAAAACAAAAGAAAGAATGGAAAAAGAGAAGACTGGTCTATGATGCTTGGGTCTTGCCCCCAGCCGTGGAGACAGTCAGCCCAGGCACTCGCTTAGGAAGAAGTTATGTTCTGGACTACTGCACTCTGCAGTCTGGCTTGGAAATGACTGGTGTAGAGCTGTGTGGGCTGTGAAGGGAGCTTGGATTTTACTACAGTGAGAAACGACTGGGGAACAACAGCAGGAAACACTACCTTTGATTCATAGGGAGCTGTGTGACCTTGGGGAAGGGCCCTTTAGCCAGGGACAGTCACTCCATTTCCTCATCTACAAATGGGGCTAAGAATCCCGGGATCTCAGAGAGCTGTGGGAATGGGTCGAGGTAGTCTCTGCACGCTAGCACAGTGCCCTGCATGCGAGTGTGATGGAAGTGTGAGCACTGTCGTTTGTACCCTGACTGCCTCCTGGAGAAGATCTTGGGATGGAAAGAATGAGTCAGGAGGCTGCTGCTGCAGAGTCCAGGCATGGACATGGGAGACACAGATGTCACAAGCCAGCACGGCTGCCCCTGGTGGCCTGAGGAAGCTGTGGTTCCCCTGGGAGGGGGATGGAGGGCTGGGTCCTGAGGTGCCTGGCAGTGACACAGGGCAGAGATGCAGGTTGGGAGCAGCACTGTGGGCTTGGAACCACGTGTGCTGAGGTCCAGGGAGGAGAGCACAGGGTGTTTAGGGAAGAGCAGGTCCTTCAGTGCAGGCGGGTGTGGGGCTGGTTGGGGGAGAGGAGGAGGAGGGAAGGAGGGGCCTGAACCTGCAGGAGAGCAGAAGACTTTCTGCATGGAGTGTGAATGGCAAGGCCTCTTGGCCCAGGTGGAGATCATATGCAAAACAGACCGCTACAAGGTGACCGTGGACGGCCACCATCTGCTGGAATACACCCACCGCCTGAAGGATCTGCCTGCCATCAATGCCCTGGAAGTAGCTGGTGACATCAAGCTTACTGGTGTGCAAGTCTAGGTGCACTCAAGAGCCCGGAGAAGGGCTGGGGACATGGCGATCTCTGTCCCCTCCCTGTCCTCTTTCCTTCTCAGCCCAGCTTCTGAGCTCTGCCAGTTGAGCAGATGGTGCCCTGAGGTGGGACACACAGGTGTCCTCCAGGTAACTCCCTCCTTGCAGTGAGGGAGCACCTGAGACCTCTTGGTCCAGCCCAGGCCCATTCTGCATAAGGATCTCAAACACTTTCCTGTCCTCTGTGCAGCCCCATGCTAGTCCCAAGCCCCAGCTGTGCACCGCAGGGACTGGGGCCCTCCACAACCCCCATTCCTGTGACCTTTACCTTCCCTCCCTGGCTTTGCACCCTGCTATGACACTGCTCCATCTGGGGAGGCTACCGGGTGATATCCTGCTGGCTTCCACCCACTGAGCAGAACTTTCTCAGCAGTGGGCTCTTCCCTGTCCTGGCCTCCTTAAAATAAAGAAAAACAAATGCTGTTATTGTTGGCACACACTCGTGGGATGGCAGCTTTAGTATTGTGTCTAGGGACATTTTGGAGTCTCTGGCTTTGCCGGAGCCCCTGCCAATGGAAGGGGGATGAGTCAGCACAGGTCCCCTTAGGGAAGGAGGGTCCTGACATCCACACTGACTCCAAGGGGACATCACAGAGCCCACAGGGGTGCTGCAGAAAGCACCTGGGGTGCACACCTTGCAGGCACAGGCCTGTAATGTAGGAATGTTGGTAGCTGGGTGAACCTAGGAAACATCTCCACACTACTGAGAAAAGAAAAGGCTGGGACACAGTCAGTGGGAGTCACGAGAGTCAAGAAGCCAGATGACCTGTGCCTGAGCAGCAGGGGAGCCAGCAGTGAACCTGACATGAGGAGTAGGGGTACGAGAGCTAAGTACCTCAGTGCTAGGATCTGCCTCTCACTGGGCAGCATAACGGAGCCCAGGTGAGTATCCATGTGATATCAGCGCACCTGCTAATTCCTGAAGAACTTCGTCCCTCAGGAGCCAGCTTAGGACTCAGGGTATGGTCCTGGGGCAACAACAACACAGGGACCTGGTTAGGAGTGGACAGTCTCAGGCCCCACACCAGATCTAAATGTATATCTGTGCTTTAGCCAGATCCCAGGAGATATTGTGTGTGTGTGTGTGTGTGTGTGTGTGTGTGTGTGTGCACGTGTACACACGTAGGTGACCAGTCCTGGTCTACACGGCTGGAGTCTTGCCCACACTATTCAGACTCCTTTCTCCTGGTCTGCAGTCAAAGCTTTCCTGAGTTGCCAAGCCCTTTATCTGCCTCTTCATTGCAGTAGATGCTGCCAGAAGCAGAACAGGCAGGAGAGGCACAGCCAGGAAAGGAGCCCGGGAGGTGAGGAAGAATCCAGAGCTGGGGCCAACATTGGCCAGGCTGCTGCTTGCCCCCTGGTGAGTCCCTTCCTTGGTTCTAAGCAGAAGAAGACACAGCTCTGTCTCATACTCAGCTCTCCTAGCTTGGTGCACACCCAGAAGAGCTCCAGTCTCTCAGGGAGGCAGGGATGCTGGGTATACTTCACCCCACCTCACCCTCCTCGTATAGGAATCCACGTCTACCTGTCCCAGGTGCAGAATCTCCATTGTCCAGACCTAAGAAAATAGATGGCAACAGAGCAAAAACTGTGTGACAGAGGTGGGCAAGGCCTTCACTAAAGAGCTGGCAATGAGCCCTGTGCGAGGCATAACTCCTGCCCTGCGCTTGTTCTCTCACTCTGTCCTCAGTACCCACTTTGGACAAGCACAATGCTCCACCTGCTGCCAGTTCAAAGATGAATGCATGGTCTGGCTGTTCTTCCTGGGGCAGTTTGTCCAGGTGGTGGCAGGCCTCCACCCAGTCTGTGATTACAGCAGATCTTGCTACAAAAATGACACACAGAGTCTGGGGCAGAGCAGGTGATCCAGGACCCCGCTGCCAGAGTCTGAGTCTCTGCCCTCCGTGCATTCACTACAGACAGGAATTCCTCACTCAGAAGCCCCGGGGACTGCTCTCACTGGGGTTCACATGTGGGCCTTCCCGGCACAGGCCCTGCACCGAGTGAATGAGTGCTCCAAGAGCTGCTGGTTCTGCAGATTGAGTCCATGCTTTACTTGTGCCCGGACCCCCTGGGGGGTTGCAGGCATGGGCAGTCTGTGATTGCTGTCACTCCCACCCACATCTGGTTCCTGTATGTGTCCTGAACTGACTAGAGACACAGAATCAGGTGGTTCACAATCTGTAGACCCTGCAGTTTGTGTCTGGGTTTTGCCTGTACCCTAAACAGCCTGGAGACATAGGTCCACTAGACGGGGATTGTCACATCAGCACAACCCATGTCTGGGCCATGCATGTGCCCTGAACTGCAAGGGGATGCTGGATCAGATGGTCTGCCATTGCCTGTCACCAATGCCCATGCCTGAAACCTGGGATAACTGGATACAAATCAACAACTGCTGGAAAACCCCAGACTAAGTAGAGCTTCTCAGTGGACACTGAGGGGCAAATCTGACCAACAGGAAAACTAGGGACACTAGTGGCCTTCGCTGTGCAGCCACTGAAGAGGCAAACTCAGTTTTCTGCATCCGGTATCAAACATGACAAAATGAAGGACTAAAACACATTCCCAGAACTCCACCCCACTTGGAACAAGTCCAGGAGACATCAACATAGGAGAACGTGGTAAGCACATGCCGGAAATAGCTGAAATGATTGCAATGGAAGTAAGAAACAACTCCATAAGGCCATAGAAGAGATGAGATCAGAAATAATTTCTCAGGCAAAAAAGGAAATGACAATAATAATGAAAGAACTGCTCAAAAAGTCTGAAGAAGAAATCTATAAGAAAATAGAAGAACAAAGGCAATGGACAGAGGTGTTAAACGAAAAGTATAGAAGGGACTTAGAATGCAGGAACCAGATTCAAAGAGACTTCCAGGAAATGAAAGCTTCCATTAAAAGCTGCCAAACTGCTTGAATGAAGCTGGAGATACAATTTCAGACTTTGAAGACAGCATGGCAGCTAGCAACCGTGAAAGAAAGGATCTCATAAAATCAACAAGGAAAAGTCAATTCAACAGCGGCAAGATGAGGCAAAGAGGAATAATGTATGACTTATAGGAGTCAATGAAACAGCAGGAAGCAACACAACTGACATAAAAAGAATATTTGCAGAAATAATAGCAGAAAATTTCCCAAGTATGGGAACAGAACCTGATATACAGATAAATGAGGCATATAGAACTCCAACCAATCACAACCAAAATAAAACTACACCCAGACATATAATAGTCAAGTTCCCAGGTCTCCAGCAAAAGAACAGAATATTAAAAGCTGCTAGAGAAAAGAAACAGATTACGTATAAAGGAAAGCCCATCAGAATCAAGGCAGACTTCTCAGCACAAACCATCCAATCGAGAAGAACTTGGAGAGAAGTATTACAGGTCCTGAGACAGAACAGCTTCCAACCAAGACTTATGTACCTGCCAAATTATCCTTCAAGTTCAATGGAGAAATAAAATATTTCCATGACAAAGAATAATTGAAGAACTTCAGGAGAGCCAAACAAGCATTACAAAGAGTACTAAAAGATATTCTAGACAGAGAAAAATCTGACCACAATTTCAAGAACAACAGTAGAAAGGAAACATCAAGAAGAGCAAGCAAGTAAACAGGTAGAAAAAGTAGGAAACTAACGCAAGTAAGTAACATGACAATGATAAATCAATGCATATCGGTTATAACTATAAATGTAAATGGCCTCAATTCTCCAGTCAAAAGAAACGGACTGGCAGAGTGGATTAAAAAACAAAATCCAGTGGTATGCTGTATACAGGAAACACATTTTACTCAAAAGGAAACCCATAGACTAAAAGTCGAAGGATGGAAAACAATCCTCCATGCAACAGGAACCCAGAAAAAAACAGGTATAGCTATTCTGTTTGCAGACAATGTAAACTTCAAACCAATAACAATCA